TACCAATGTAATTAAGTTATATTCTGCTGATAGTTAAAATTTTATGTTGAACAGATGCTAAACATTTTATTTTAAATAATGTTTTCAAAGGTTTGGGGTTTTTTTCTTTTTTGATGGAAACAGGGTCTCACTACTCAGTTCAGGCTGCCTTGAACTCACCAGGTAGCTTAGGATGACCTCAAACTTGTGGTGATGCTTTTGTCTCAGCCTCTGAGTGCTGGGGTTGCAAGGCTGTGCCTCAGACTTCAGTATTCTCATCACTAACTAATATATATTAGAGCTCCTATATACTAAGTTATTTGAGCTATCAGCTTGTTAGTCCACAATTTATACCTTAACTGTAGTGCATATGCTGTTTATAGCTACAATATTTGCACACCAACCGCTGAAAATTTAGATAGCAGATAATTACACTACCATCGCTGCATTCTCAGCAGTGTGGGAGGTGCTCTTCCTAGTCAGCTTTTATTCAGGCTGTGTGTACCTCCAATTTCTGTGAAGTACAGAGAAGCCGTGACACCTCTTCAGGTCTCATGACCAGTCCCTAGTAGGGTGACTAGTGCTGGAATGTCAGCAAGTGTTAAGGTTTGTCTTTTTGTTGTTGTTGTTTTGCTTTGTTTTCTCTTACTGCAGTTATTTTACTTCCTCCTGGTAGTCCCAAAGTTTGAACACTTTCTTGTGTCAATTTAAAAGTCTGATGGAAATAATATCGACATAAATTCTAAGTGTGGTGTGGGATTTCACTCTCCCTGGTTTGTACTTATAAAATCAACCAAGGTAAGTGCTTCCCAAATACAGTGGTGGGTGTACATCCCCAATATACAGAGCTGATACAAAGGAGTAGCAAGCACCACAAACCACGAAAATGCAAATTTCCCCTGACTAATTTAGAAAAATAATGCTGCATACATAATAAGCAATATGCTTGCACATATTTAGGAATTGCTGTGTAGTGGTTTGTTGTGAAGCATTGTCAGGAGTTTTTCCTAAAATAGTCCTAGATGCCAACTTGGAACTGATTCCAGGGAAGCGCTTATTCCACTGAGCCAGTTTTGGGTTTTTTTGTTTGTTGGTTTTGGTTTTTTGGTTTTGTTTGTTTGTTTTTGGTGGAACTGGGGATTGAACTCAGGCCCTTGCGCTTGCCAGGGACGTGCTTATTCCACTGAGCCATCACCTCAGCCCCTGGGACTGATCCCATAAGATTTGTCTTAATAAAAGATTTGAAGATGAAAATTATGTATGTGAGAAGTTCTTGGGCATAAAGCATTTTGGCATATGGTATGAAAGGGAACTTTTTTCTGATTCTATCCTATTTGAAAAATAGAAAACGAGTTTTAATTATATTCTAAGTACATATGCTGCAATTGCCATGACTTCAACAAATAATGAAGAACATTAGGTTTTATGCTTAACAATACAAAACCTTGCCTCTTTCAGTTTTCTCTTTCCAAATTTATTTCCTATTTTAAGTTCTCCAAAACTGATTTCTGTTGAGATTTAAAGGGAATGCCATTAAGTGAGCTTTCTTAATGCAGTAGGTAAACTCTAAGAGGAAACACTTTTCAGCCTTTAGACTTCTTTTAAACTCAGTGGCATGGTAAGTTTAAGTGTGAGCCTCAGATTTTTAAAACATCAAATTTGTCAGCTTGAAGGGGAAGGACTCATTAAATTGTCCTTGATGTGTAATACTAATTGAAAATATTTCATGCAAATATATTACCCTGTGAGGCTAGAAATTATTCTTAAATTGTTGATGTTGAAGTACAGTACGGGTTTGGATCATTTTTCTGTTTACTTCTTTAAAAATATAGCATGAAAATGACAAAAAAAATTTAAAAAATCTCTGGGTTGGGGAGATAAGTGCTTCCCTGGCAAGTACAAGGGCCTGAGTTCAATCCCTGGTTCCACCAAAAAAAAAAAAAAAATGAGAATGAACATGTATAATACATTAAACATCTTTACTGGTAAATTATTACATATTTTTGCTTGTATTATTTAGAACTTAGTATTTCCAGAATCTTGTATTTATTATTGAAAATGAAATACATTAAATAGAAATCAAGGTCTTAACCCTGTGACTTTGTATTATATTCTGAAAATGTTGATGTGTAGAGGTGTATAATTGAACACTGCAGAAACAAAATGGAGATTTGAGGAGGATGAATTGATAACTTGGTACTTTTTACAGTGAGATCTTATGATCAGTTACTGTTGTCCTTATAAAAGTCTGATACAGTCACTCAACTGCTAAAAACCTAATCCTCTGTTTAAAAAAATATACAAAAACAAATTGTCTGTCTTTCTGCCTGATCTCTTCTCAAGTACTAACACAATGGAAACAGTGGGTGATCTGTCAATGTGTTTGGTTTGTCAATGATGGTTTTGTATAAATATTGGAAGGGTAAGAAATAAAATTCACACAGTAAAATATGATTTCATCTGCCTTTTCTCTGCAGCTCCGTGGCTCATGCTGCGGTGTGAAATTCTCATTTTACACACTTTGCAGGCGGAGCACATGAATTATGCATTGAGCAAGAAAAATCTCCTGCCTTGAGTCCTATATGCATTTGCCCAGGTTCTGTCTCTATTACCAAGATAAATTGCAAATGGAGAAATGTTTGATGGAATAGAGCTCTTAACTTCTTTGTTTAGAATTCAGATTTTTATTTTTCTAGTAGAGCCCTTAAGTATGAAAATGTTTTGAACTTACTATGGATTTTTTAAAATGAAGAATGAAATACAATATAAAAGGGGAATGCAGACACATCATGAAGCATTTTATAGTCTTGATTCAAATGCAAGCTTTCTTCGATTCTGTAGAATTGACCATTATCTATTGCTAATGTTGTATTTCAGTCACAGTTATTTGCTGTTCACAGAAAGTCAATGAAATTCTATCCTTTTGAAAGCCTTTTTTCTTTCTGTTCTGAGTTTCTAATAAGAGATTATACCAGTTTCACATGCAGTTCTGCTCTGTGTTGTATGTCACCTGATGTGTATTTAATAGATATTGTTACATGTTCTTGGCTACGGAGTAGAAAATAATGTATAGACTTGGCTTCAGCTTTAACTTTATCTTGATTTGATAGGTTTCTAATTTTTCAGCTGGGACGGTTACAGTTCCATAAAGACAGTCATGCACCATTGTAGCTTATAGGAAGCTACATTCTGTGCTCAGTGCTGCATTTTGATAGGTCACATGATGCTAAGCTCTTTTTTGTTATATGTTCTTTTTTCACAGGAATAATATTCCAGTTGAAATGCCATTTTCATTCTGAACCTGTTTGCATTTACAAACTTGCATTTACTTTTACATTTCAGCCTCAAAACTACCATTTATTTTTCCCCAGGTCTAGACAATGGTGTTCATTTCAAAAGTGGAGACAACACTACTTGTTTTGCTTTTAAATAAGGAATCAAAATTAAAACTTTAGTTTTTAGTAGCAGAAAGTTAATTTGAGAGTAAAGTCAGTGTGGTTTTTAATTGATGTTTTAGTTTATTTGCATGATTCTTAGTGTCAGTATAAGGGAAGCAAATAAGCATAATTAAAATCATTTTAAGATGTGACCTACCTTATACTGCCTTGTAAGTGCTCTTATTCTTATGTTTGCACTACTGTTAAGAGCTGCAGTACTGGAAAAACTTCTGGCGGTGGTTATGTACCTTTCACTTGAGTAGTACGTTTCCATAACTTGAACACTTTAAAAACATTCATATGAAACATAAGCACCCTACTCCTTTGGTAGATTACAAATTATTTGAAAGCAGGGATTATACCTCTCTGGGCTGTTATTTCCATTGCTTAGCACAGAATCTGATATACATCTAAAATTCTGTATACACCAAATGAATAAATTAATGAATATGGATTTTAGTGAAAACTTTTCTTTAATTTGAGGTGATTTCACTTAAAATAAAGAGCACAGATGATAAAACATAAATAACTTTGACACAGATAATATTTGTTTAACAACCTCCAGTGCTATTTATGACCTTAACTATACTTCTTTTAGGAACAAAAAGCTAAACTAATCTTTTCTGACTATCTAACCAAACTGAATATGGGTTAGATATTCAGGCATCTGGGTGTTGTATTCTAATCCATAGTTACATAGTTTTCAAAGCATAGTATATTGAATGAGAAAAATCTGTTGTAAGAGAAGCCCCACTTATGAGCAAATGTGTTTGAAATATTTATTCTCTGTACATAACAGTCAAGTAAATTGTTTCCCACCCACAGGACCAAGAAACTGGTAATGTCATTGATAGATTTTAATGAATACTTAGGGCAGAGAGGTCAGACACATCTGAATATTGAAATTAGGAGTACCTGGCACATGCCTGTCATATAGTATCAGCAAGTCTGTTGATGATTTAAGAGCTATGTGTGTTTTGCTGGGGCAATTCTTTTTCTTAAGTGAACTCATTCAAAAATTATTTTTCATAAAATTGAATTCAGAAAATTTCAAATTGAAAAGCTATATTACGTTTTTACATTAGCAAAATTGTCAGCTTATAAAACCATTATTATTGACCTTTAAATTTTCTTTTAAAATCCTATGTGATCTTTTTTTTTTTTTTTTTTTTTTTTTTGCGGAACCGGGGATTGAATTCAGTTCCTTGCGCTTGCCAGGGAAGCGCTTATTCCACTGAGTTATCTCCCCGGCCCCCCATGTGATCTTTAAATATAAAATATTTTAAAATAATTAACAGTGTGCATAATGGAAAGGAAATACTGTATGCTAATTCAGGCAGAAATTTTTATTCTGAAAAATGTTTTATGCAGTAAGACAGAGGCTTGATTTGTTTTTAAAACTAAGGGAAAAATATGGTTGTTTTATTTTTATTTTATTTTATTTTTTATGGTTGTTTTAAATGTTAGTACTGCTTCCTAACTTGGCGTGATGATGCATGCCTGTAATCACAGCACTCGAGAATCTTAAGGGAAGAGGATTGCTGTGAGTTCCAGGCCAGCCTGGGCTACAAAGTGAGCTCAAGGCCATCAACTGCACAGTGAACCCTGTTTCAAAAAGACAAAGAAAAAAAGTAAATATAATGCTTCCTAGGTTTTTAAAAACAAAACACAAAATAAATGAAATATATATTATTTTATAGGAGAAAGAAAAAAAACTAAACCAAGAAAGAACTTCTCTTACCAAAGATGTTTCACTTCTAGACCTAGATGACTGTAAGTATAAATTTTTCTGTATTATATTTATTTTTATAGTAACTTATTTACATGGCTCAAAATGTATTGATACCTTTTATAAAAGAATTTATAGATAAGTAAGGCAGGAAAATTTTGGAAATCAGTGGTAATAGAATCTTTTATCTGTTCATAGCAGTTCTGACTCACACAGATAAATACATGGCCAAATAAAATACAACAAATTTGTCCAGTTTTAAATATTTTACTTTAATAATTTATATTTGTTTTAAATGTTGATTTTGAGGATTGCCATGTCTAACTTAAGGATATAGATACAGAATTAGGAAAGAAAATAAAAATGGAAACCACCATCTTCCACTTCCAATTTTGGTGAGAATGGAAATGGATTATAAAACTTGGGAGACAGGTTGGCCCTGTGTGTATCACTGTTTTAAGTACAAAAAATCTACTTGTGAATCTTATAAATTTACTCAGCTACATTTTCAAAGATACATACTCACCTTTCTCCTTAAATTGCAAGAGAGATAGTAGAATTGGCTTTGTTCCTTGGCAGATGCTGCATGAGGAGAAGAGCAACAGGTGAGATTTCCTGAGTCCTGGGCCACTGTAGTCTTTCCTCAGGAGAAGAATGTGCTCCTTCATTCTGTAATAGTCTGCTCTGCATGTATTGTTTACATAGCCTGTCTCCAGTGGACATGGCGAATTCTTACTATAAAGAAATTCACATGTATCATACAGAGAAATACGTAGCATAGGGAAATTAAAAATAAAATTGAAGGCAAATGTGAATCAATTTTTACATGTTAGCAAAGATTTTTTCATTTTGATACCATCCAGGATACTTTATCTCCTCTTCATAGGAGTACAAAAGGGTATAGCTTTTTGAAGTCATTTTAACAATATGTCCCTAACTTAAATTGTGCATACTAGACCAAGCAGTTCTTCACTGGAAATTTATTTTACCAGTGAACTACAAAATCAGATCTTACTTCTTCCTTGTTTTAATACCTTTAATTGGATGTCATTTATTTTCCATTAAAGTTCTTGTTTCTTTTCACAGTCTCCAAGACACAGTCGATTCTGGCCTGCCTCTTACCTGTATTTCACATTACTCTGCCTCTTTGCTTTGTTTAAACTATGAGGCTCAGTGTTGCCAAGGGCTTGGTACTGTTGTCTCTTCTGAGAATGCTTCCCCAAGGTCTTTCAGTGGCAGATTGGGTCTGTCTTGCAAGTCCAAGCTCAGAAGTCACCCACTGTTACATACTGTTGTAGTCTGATCAGAGAGCCAAAATGTAATCTGGGTGATTCATATTGTAAGAGGAAAGATACATGGAGCACATGTAAAGAATGGAAACCTGTAAAGTATGCAGTTGTTAACACTTTGATTCTTTTTTTATGCAAGTATATTTTTATGTGTAGACACAGAAATTTTCCATTAAGTTCTTTGGGCTGGGGATGTAGCTCAGTGACACAGCTCTTTCCTGACAAGTATAAGACCCTGAATGGCATTCCTGGTACCCCCTCATTAAATTTTTTAAGAATTTTAAAGGTAAGATTCTTAAAAGGAAATTTTATCCTAAGCCACATTGTACAACTCAACATAGAATGTTTCACTTTTAATACTAAAGTATTTGAGATTTAAAAGAAAATGTTGTAGTTCTACATTTGTCAGAAATGACGAGTTCGATTGGTAGCGGGAGGGGAGAGCGGACCCCAGAGAGCCCTGAGCAGCCCCACCACTGCCGCCGGCCTAGTTAGCATCACACACCGGGAGGAGCCACAGCTGCCGCAGCCGGCCCCAGTCACCATCACCGCAAAGGTGAGCAGCGAGGCCGAGACCCAGCAGCCGCCCCCGCCCTCAGCACTGCTGACACCGAGCCCAGCACCACGGGTAGCAGCTCAGGGAGCTGCAGCTGCCTGGAACAAAAAGCTCATCACAAGGAAGATTTTGGGAACAGTAAAATGGTTTAATGTAAGAAGCAGATATGGTGTCATCAACAGGAATGACACCAAGGAAGATGTATTTGTACACCAGACTGCCCTAAAGAAGAATAACCCCAGGAAGTACCTTCACAGTGTAGGAGATGGAGAGACTGTGGAGTTTGGTGTTGTTGAAGGAGAAAAGGGTGCAGAGGAAGCGAATGTTACAGGCCCTGGTGGAGCTCCAGTCCAAGGCAGTAAATACGCAACAGACTGTAACTAGTATAGACGCTATCCACGTCGTAGGGGTCCTCCACGCAATTACCAGCAGAATTACCAGAATAGTGAGAGTGGGGAAAAGAATGAGGGATCGGAGAGCACTCCCAAAGGCCAGGCCTAGCCACGCTGGCCCTACCGCAGGCGAAGGTTCCCACCTTACTACATGCGGAGACCCTATGGGCTTCGACCACAGTATTCCAACCCTCCTGTGCAAGGAGAAGTGATGGAGGGTGCTGACAACCAGGGTGCAGGAGAACAAGCTAGACAAGTGAGACAGAATATGTATCGAGGTTATAGACCACGATTCCGCAGGGGCCCTCCTCGCCAAAGATATCCTACAGAGGATGGCAATGAAGAAGATAAGGAAAATCAAGGAGATGTGAGCCTCAAGGTCAGCAGCCACTTCAACATCGGTACCGTCGCAACTTCAATTACCAACGCAGACGCCCAGAAAACCCTAAACCACAAGATGGCAAAAAGACAAAAGCAGCCCATTGACCAGCTGAGAATTCGTCTGCTCCTGAGACTGAGCAGGACTGGTCTGAGTAAATGCCGGCTTAACGTCTCTACCATCATCCGGTTTAGTCATCCAGCAAGAAAGAAAGGAATAGAAAATTCCACCAATAAGAAATGAACAAAAGATTGGAACTGAAGACCTTAAGTGCTTGCTTTTTGCCCATTGACCAGATAACTAGAACTATCTGCATTATCTATGCAGCATGGAGTTTTTATTATTTTTACCTAAAGATGTCTCTTTTTGGCAATGACAAACGTGTTTTTTTAAAAAGCCTGGTTTTTCCCAATACACCTTTAAAGGTTTTAAATTGTTTCATATCTGGTCAAGTTGAGATTTTTAAGAACTTCATTTTTAATTTGTAATAAAAGTTTACAACTTGATTTTTTCAAAAAAATCAACAAACTGTAAGCACCTGTTAATAAAGGTCTTAAATAATTGTAAAAAAAAAAGAAAGAAAGAAAGAAATGACACTCTGAGGGAAAAAAAAAAAAAAAAAGAAATGACAGGAGCCTTTTTTTAAACAGGTTGTCAGCTCAGCAGATAATTATGGCTGGGTTGTTTGCTAAGAGCAAGGTTCTTTGCTGGGTGCTGTACTGGATACTAGAATTCAGTCGTTCTCTTCCACATACTACAGTCTAGTCATGGATACAGATGCTGGACAAGTATAATATGCATATATATACATTTATATGTATAAATGTACAAGTATTTTATATATCCATTTATATGTATATGACATACAGTGGAGATGCAAAATACAGTGAGGAAAATAGCAGATAAGAAGCTTCAAATTCCTGTAGAATAAGTATACCTGGTCTTGGCAAAAGACCAGCAGAGGACTTCTTACTGCACTGTCAGCTGCTTATCATCTAAAGTAGATTTTCACCACCCAGAGTAATCAGTTTACTGGTCAGACATTTAAAGTCACTCTTCAGTGGTTTAAGTCCTCACCTTGTGACAGCTAAGAGTAATCTTGAAGGAAAAGCAGACATATTCTTTATGTTTTATCTACACAGAAGTTTAGGTACACATTGCATACTGAGGAAACAAATACTAAGCATGCACCATTCAGAGTGAAGTACTGAGTATATATCTGAGATCCTAAATAAATATAGTATTGTCTGTACCCAAGGGACTGTACAGGGGGAATGGGAGGAGTGGGGAAGTCATCAGGCAGATTACCACATGATAGATGAGGTAAGAGGGAGCTAGGCATTGAGCACAGCCAGGACTCTTGAAGCCTACACCTCCTCCCAGGAACAGGATGCGCCCTGGGGCTGAGTTTCAGCAAGCATGAGCCAAGCAGTCAGGAAAGAATGAATGGAGGGTACCAAGTAGAGTGAAGACGTGGAGGAAGAGGGAAAGCCAGCTCTGCCCACAAGTGGTTATTGTCTCTAAGGAAGCAGTACAGGTAGCATTCTGCTGTAGATTGGCTCTATCACAAAGCCCTTCTGCAATTTTGAACAAAACTGTGTTTTTGTGGAGAGGGTATTATCAGGAGCATAGACCTTTATGTTTTTAATCAATTAAATGAGTTAATTTCTGTTTCATTTTTTATTTGTAAAATGAAAAAAATGGTATATCTTTTATGATTTCTGTAGATTATGGAGCTATATGACTGCTTCATGAACACTGTTTGATAATACACACACACAAAAAAAAAATTTTGAGCAAGGAGAGTATATGATCCATGCTCTATGATTAAGCTTGAAGATCACAGCATGCTGTTTTGGGGGTTATATTATACCTACAAATTAAAATACCTTAGAACTTCACATCATATTTTCCTAATGACATGATTATAGAGCAGCAATTCTGTTCTAATGTTTTTCTGTAGAAACTCTAGGTGTGTCATTATGGTTTTAGTAAAGTACCAGCAGCCAACAGTTACGTGCTTCAAGGGGAGCCTAGTACTGTGATACCACACTGTTGGGTAAGGTCTGGTGCAGATTGCAGAAGAGGTAACCAAGGAGATGATAGAATTAAGCTGTTTGAGTTCTAGTTCTCTTACTAGCTGTGTTACTTGGGCATTTTGCTTAATCTCTGCTTTCACTGTTTTATCTACAAGATTAAAGTAATATTAACTCTTTCTTATGGAGACTTTTATTTATATTTTAAGGTTTGTTTTGTTTTGGTGCAGGCTCTCACTGCACAGCTCAGACTTGTAGTGATCCTTCTAATTTCTGCCTCCCTAGTGCTGGCATTACAGGCATGTGCCACCATGCCCAGACTCTATCACTGGCTCAGTGCGCCTGGGGGTGAGGCCGGTGTGGCATGTAGTACCAGGGGTCAAACCCTAAGCAAGCACTTAGTCCACTGAGCTTTTCTGCCAGCTGGCCCTGGCAACTTACTTTTAAAAGAATTCAGTTAATACATGTGAAAACAGCACTTTCATTTTCACCTGGCATAGAATAAGCATTTGCTCAGGGTTCATGAGGATGATAACAGTGAGCAAGATAATATAGAAACAGTATCACATCACACTGAACAAGCTGAGTACATATTAAACCATTCTGTAAAGGAATTGTACTTAATTTTGAAGCAAAAATTTGTTAAGAAGGATAATTGTATAATTACTGTATTAAGTATGCTCTAGCAAAGAAAAATAGTACTTTGTAGAAATTTTAAAGTTAAAAAAAGATAAAATTAGCTTGTGATCTGAACCCTGGTTTAACATTCAGAATCTCTTCATTTGTGCATACCTCCTCCCACTTAGATTGGGATAGTACTGAGATACCATACTGTCACTTGCTTTTTTGTCTGTCACACAGCTTTTGCCCTCTTACTTGGGCTTCTATTTTGCAGAAATGATATTTAAAGCTTGTTTGGGGGGTGGTCTTAAGAGTGGAACGTACTCATACTGTGACTTTTCTTCTCTTGTTGGTATTTAGCCAAACCATAGTTGAAATTAGAAGCTGTTTCTTACTGTTTTTCATGCCTTACCTGTGAGCAGTTAACATTTTGAATGGGAATATAAATGGGCCAACAAATGAACAAACATGCATACAGAATCCATGAGATAAGTCACATTTTGCCAAGAAGGACAACATTGTGACCCAAGTTAGAAGAGCCAGCGTCTAATTCCCTAGTGTCTCTACCATTCACTTGTTGGTGACGGTGGTAAATCTTACCCGCTTCTGGGCCTCGGTTTCTGATGTCTGATGCACATGCTTTTTGAAGTCTTCGTACTGCTGTTAGCTTCCTTCCTTTCCTTTTCGCCTTACTCCTTTAAAGTCTTCCCCACTGCCAACCCCGTTTCTCTGACCTTCATTGTGTCTCTCACACTGTCATTGGTTAATCATTCTTCAGTACTGTATTCATTATGTTGTTTCTGTCTGGTAGATTTTTAATACTTTACTGTGGGCTACAGATTAATTCAGCTTCCTTAACTCTCCACTTTCCTACCTTACTTTCTTTGTTTACTCCATTCTGTCATCCAGCAATTAACTAGATTCTTTCGATGCTATCCTGATTTAAAATTTGGGCCTTATCCCTTCCTCTTCTTAAAACCTCATCACACTCTGGTCCCAGTGACCCTCCTGTCCTTACTGCTGCTGACTGTGCAGTGGTTTTCAGCCGATAACTGAGGAGCCTCTGCTATTGTAGCAGCATGTTGGCCACACAGAGTGAAGAGGGGATATGGGCTTCGTGCGTCATGCCTTCCTCTACTTCCTTTCCTTGTACATATAGGTTTTGTTTAAGGTTTCCTTTTAAGGTTTTCTTTTGTTGGCACTATCATTTATAGATTGTGTTATTTTTTTTTAAAGCATTCAAATTCCTTTTCTTAGTTAGATTGAAAGTTACTTAAAGATGGGAACCATATCTTAAACTTATCTCCCCTTTACTTTCTTGCTAAGTATTATTAACTTCATGAATTAGTATTTCTTCTGCCTAGTTTACAGGACATTGTGAAACTAAAATTAGAAAATGGTGCTTTAAAAATAATGCCATCTTAAGTGTTACTTTCTTTACAGTGTTTTGGAGTGAGGATTTGTTGGAAGCTAAAACTTTTTCCACTTTTTGTTTCATTCAGTAAATAATTGAATGTATTAAGTACTAAAAGATAGTAAGTTAAAGTCTCTTCACACAGACCAGAAGAAATAAAAACATTTAAAGACAAATCTGCGTTCTGTGCAAAGTAGTTCTGGAAGTTTGTTCAGGTGACCTATATTAGATGAGTCAGGTAGGGCTTTCCCTAAGGTGTTCTTGGAGCAGAAGTGGCAAGATGAATGAAACCTTCTAGGAAATGGAGTAAACTACAGATGGCTCAAAGTTGTGGAACAAAATCTTGGAAACTAGTATTCCTTAGAACTAGAGAAGCTAATGAAATTGGAGATAAGCTGGGCCTGAGATGTCTGGTATGGTGGCCACTAACCACATGTTGTTATTTAAATTTAAATTAAGTAAAATTAGCAATGTTTGTGTTTAGTCATCCTGGGTGTATTCAGAGAGCACATTAGGCATGAGTGGCCACCATGAAAGAAGCACAGATTCAGAACATTTCTGTTGTCATACGTCGTTCTGCTACACAGGGCTGAGCTAAAGCATGGAGAATTTTGTGTACTTGGTTAAGGCGTTGGACTTTGATCTTTCAAGAGCTGTGAGCCGTGAAGAATCTTTTCTTTCTTTTTTTTCTTTTTTTCTTTTTTTTTTTTTTTTTTGCGGAACTGGGGATTGAACTCAGGCCCTTGCACTTGCCAGGGAAGCGCTTATTCCACTGATCCATCTCCCCAGCCCCCGCTGTGAAGAATCTTAAGGAAATCACGTAATCTCATTTTCATTTTTAAAAGATTTTTAAACTTTTAGTTACCTGCTTCCAAGTACTTGCTTTAGAACAAGTAAAACATTTCTGTCAGCACATAGATTTGCTGACAAAGTGTAATTAAAAGGGAATTATATATCATGGACCACTAATTAATTAGAGTGGAGAATAAAATAGCAAAGTGACTTAAACATGCTTTTTAAGACCTCTGACTCAACTGGAGAACTCTCCTGAAAGCTATTGTGATTCTTTATATTGGTGTGGAAAAGTGTTTCTTCACGTTTTTCTGTTAGTGAAATTAACTGGGTGATTAATGTTATGTGATAAAAATTTTCAAAAACTATTACTCAAGATATTTATATCCCTATTTTGTTATAGGATTTACCATTATGTTTTGAAAGCTAAGACTAATAACTGCCATGACTTGGTAATAACTTGACTAAATCAAGATGTTAAATAGAATTGTCATACATTTATTAATCAAAGTAATTTAATTAGATTTACTAACAAAGTAAAAATGTTGCTTTCAATAATTTGAATTAAATTTTCATGCATATTTGCTAATTTGGGCCTTTTCTTACAGTTAACCCTATGTCCACTCCAGTTGCACATCCCACACCAGTGCTTTCTCCAAGCTTGATAGCTGATCTTGAAGGCTTAAATTTGTCAACTTCCTCATCTGTCATCAGTGTAAGTTATTTTTTAAATCACCAGCTCAGTTTTCACATGTTATTGCATCTTTTTTGTTTCAATGCAGATGATTAAAGTGGATTTTTAGTCTTGAATAGCTCTTCCTCTGACAAGTCCAATTCACAGAAGACCCTTTAATTTTTAAATGGTTTTTAAATTTACTCTACACAAATGATTATCTTCTCAATTTACTTCTTGTTAACCACATTTAATTATGTATACATTCTTCTCTGGCAGTGTTACAAATCTGTAATATACAGGAATCCTTGCCACATTGAGGTAGTCTGTACAGTGGTGTCACATAATAAAGATACGTTGTAGCAAATGCATCATTAGGTGCTTTTGTCGTTGTGAGAGCATCATACAGTCTACTTAAACTAAGACAGCAGTGCTGTCTGCAGTATAGTCTTACAGAAGTATCATCATGTATGTGGTCTCTCATGGTTTGAAGTGTCATTATGGGCTTATGACTAACGCTAAATACTGCAGTAAATTGTTGTTTAGAGGATGGGGTGTCACTCAGTGCAAGAGTTCATGGCCCTGGATCAGTCCCTAACACTAGTGCCCTCCGCTCCCAAAGTCTGTTTTGAACAACTTCCATTCCCATAATCATTTTATTACCACTACATAGCTCTTTGTTGTTGTTGTTATTGTTTATATAATATTTTTCTTTGTGTTTTTTTCATACTTTTATCTGCATGTATTGATATCTTTCTTAAAAATCCTTTAATAATTTTTGTGGGGTGAGAAGACTAGAAGTGAGGTTGAAGGTCCTGCTTTCAACAAATAATTTCAAAATAACCTGTCACATATTTAAAACTGCAGTCCTCTTTTTTGTGTTAACATGGTGTACCCACTACGCTTGCTTGCTTGCTTGCTTGCTTTATTTATTTATTTATTTATTTATTTATTTATTTATTTATTTTGCAGAACCAGGGATTGAACTCAGGCTCTTGCACTTGCCAGGCAAGTGCTTATCCTACTGAGCTATCTCCCCAGCCCCATACACTCGCTTTAAATCAAACTTACTGCCTATGATGTACAGTTTGTAGAGATGGTTGATTTTGGGTTAGGTTTATTGCCAGAAACCTATCAACTAAGAGAATAGAAGATAGTTGTTTGGCTTTGATGGGTACAAGAAGTGTGAGCAAATCTGGAGCAGCAGGTGGGTCCCAAGGCTGACACATGGCAATCTCAGGTGCCAGGGAGCTCCTCTGCCAAAAGTGGGGAGGAAGAGCAATAGGTCTTATACACTGTTAAAACATTTTCTCCTTCAGAGCAGTTTGATACACCAGGACCATACAGTGAACTGCTGGAAAGAAAGTGTATCTCACTGAGGAAATACAAGGAACAATAATGTGTCATACTGTTAAGTACACAAAGAGGTTCCATCTAGGCCCCCCAGAAGAGAGAACTATGTTTGGGGTTTTAGTTTGCCCGTCCTAGTACTAAAAGGAATAACATTAAAAGTGATGCGGAAGTATTGGAAACAACCAAATTTGTACAATTAATAAGTATTTGTTGAACATTTGTGTTGGACACTAAAGACAAAAGTGGTCATTGGATAACCTATCATGAAGCTTTTAATTCCTTAATTGGAACAGGAAACCCCTAAAAACTTGACTTCCAGGAAGAATTGGTTACTACTTGTGCTTTGGTATCAGGTGGCCAGGGTGCAAATCGGGCTTTACCACTCGCTAGATATTTGACCTTGGAAAATAGGTAAAAGTAGTAGCATTTATGCACTTCAGTTGTCTGTAAACATAAGCTACCTTATGGGATTGTTGAGATTAATGAATTGATAATACATAAACCTCTAAGAACAGAGATTAGTGCATTGTTGTCACTTGATAAACATTAACTAGTATTTTTGAAAGTTATATGATACATGATGATGGACCTGGGTAGATTGTATTTTTTTAAACAGTTCAGATTCTTACATTTTGTTAAGAAAAATGCAGTTGAGATCAGAAAAGCTTGTAGTAAATTTTCATTCATCACAAAGTAATTGAAAGATTTGCCCTCTTATACTTAGGGAAGACAAGCACTCTACCCAAGGATGGGCAGAAAAGAAGTGTCAAGTGTTAGAGCTAGAGAAAGTGTAGAATCCTAGCCCTCACCTCCAAAAGCTAGCAGCCTCCAAAATGAAGAGCAACAAAGAGTTACAAGGAAAGGAGCAACTTTAAAGAACAGGGTAGAACTTTCACAAGTCAGATCCGTGCGAATAGTGTGCAGTGATAAGGTCCCAAATCTCGCCACCAACCTTCAAAGCAATACTGAGCAAAGAAGAAAAATCAAGGAAATTTTAAGTTTTCTCATTATTTATATGAATTTGCAAAGTAGTAGGCTAAAGTTGTTTAAAGAAAAGAACCAAAACAAAACTGTCAAGAATTACAGCTTGCATATCATATTAGGTAGGGGATCTCAACTATAGAAACTTTTTCAGACTCTAGGTTGAAATGTATAGATAATTGGATACATCTGTAACTTTAAAGTAACGTTGCCTTAGTTGAATAGGAAAGAAAATAAAATAAAATAATTTATAATATATAATATTTATTGTGATCCTTACCTGTTTTTTCTCAGTAGGAAATTAGTCAGTAACATGCAAAATTGAAGTGTGCCTCTGTAAAGGGATGTGGTGCCATCTGTCGTAGTGAATGCTGTGCCCTGGGAGGGCAGCAGGCACTGGGATGTCAGGCATTGCGGCCTCGTCCTCAAAGCTGGTGGCCTCCTTCACTGCTCCTCTGTCAGGGGGTGCTCTAGACCAGATGCTCTTGCAGCCAGCACAGCCCCAGGCACAGTGTTCAGTCAGAGCTCTGCTGCTCTGAGGCAAGCCAGTTTAGCTTTTGCAGCTGAGGAGTTTTGTCCATCTGTAAAATAAAGACAATAGTCGTATTTCAAAGTTATGTTAGTATTTGAAAAGAGTTAACACACACTGAGTTTCTGTTATTTTTTATTGTTATTACAACTTTATAAAGGAAATAAAATATAACTTGAGAACTTTGTTGTATTGGTCAGGGTTTTACCTAGAGGAACAGATATATAAAGAACAGATATTAACACAAGATATACAATATATAAGGAATTACAGGATTGCCTTATGACAACCACAGAGTCGGATGAAGAAGCGTGCAGAGGGCATCTGCACACCCCAGACTGAAGAATTCAGTCCCAAGGTCTGAAGCTCACTGCAGTGCTCTGTGCAAGTCTCTGTCCATCAGCTAATGGAAGAGTCTGTGATCTGTGATCTGTGCTGCAAACCAGGAGATGAAGTCCAAGCCAAATTCAAAGACTAAAGTTCCTCTGAGGAAGTGGAACTTCCACTCCTTCCTCAGGTCCATTATATATGTTAGTCTTTTTGTGAGGAGTCACTCTGGGGTGGGCCCGTTGTGCTCTAGGGTGGCACCAGTCGCACCCCAGGGCAGGCACTGGTCCCACTCTAGGGAAGAATCAATTGTGCCCCAGGGTGGAGCCCCCACAACACAGAGTCAATCAGCCAAATTGACACAATGTGTCAACCACTACACTTTTGTTAAGCTTGTACTGTTAAGGTTACTTGTGCTCAAACATGAAAATAACTATTGAGTCCTACTTTTGTAAAAAGAGGCTACTTCTTAAAGAGCAAAACAATAAATAGATACAAAATAGCAGAACTAGTAGTTACCCATTGAGTATAAATGATTAAACAAAATATACCAGAAACCCAAACTAAATGCTGAGGAGTGGAAATAGTGAGGTGCTACTCATTTAATTTTTTTCATGGTAAGAAATCAGTCTGTAGTATGCAAAGTATTTTTAATCTCAAACCTCTTAATGGCTTACATTATTCAGAGAATATCTAAAGTTTTGGAAAGTGTTTAAATTCTTATTATTTAATGTGTTTAGTATAGAGTCTCACTACACAGATCGGACTGGTCGTGAGCCTCCTGTTTTCAGCCTCCCAAGTGCTGAGATTACAGGCACGCCACCATGCAGTCTCAAACCCTGTCTCAGCATGCTCCAGGGATGGGGCCAGTGCAGCAGGCTGGGGATTGAACCCCCGCCCCTGTATCTGCCTAAGCAGGCGCTTTAATCTGTTGAGCTCTCTGGCTGGCTTAAATTCCTAATTTTAATTATTGTTCTTTTATTAGGACACTATTATCATTTCACAAAATAGTTTGTTTCTCTGTATATTTGTCCATGTGTACAGATGTCACATTCACAGGGGCTAACAGTTCAGGTAGCATGATTTTTGGAACACTTATTGATTTGTTTTTCTGTACTTTTTATAATGTTTAAGTGTTTCATAGTAAGTATCAATTTCAAAACAGTGAATTGTTACTATGAAAATAAGCATAAGTACTAAAATAGGCAAACATACAATATTACAAGTCAGAATAATGACTATTCTTAGAATCAGTGCTTGTGGAGAACATGAGAGGAGCTTCAGGACTGCTGGTCTGGGTGATGGTTGTGCAAGTGTGTTCAGTTTATGAAAAATCTTTAAGTTTTGCAATTAAGATATGCGTGCTTTTCTGTATGTATATTGTACTTGAACAAAACATTTGTGGGCATGATACAAATGTATTTTTTATAGAAGAGGAAACATATTAGATACATGAAAATGTTCAGTAGTAGTAACCAATGAGAGCCGAGGCAGCAGACAGCAGCTAAACTGGTGATCATGCAGGAAAGAAGACAGGACACTTGCTGTGGAATTTACTTGAAATGCTGATTGCATCAAGAAGCTTGGAACCAAACATTCACTTAGGAATGTCTTCCCCCCACTTTTTTAATAATGTATTTAGTACAGGGTCTCACACAGATCGGACTCGTAGTGACCCTCCTGTTTTCAGCCTCCCCAGAGCTGGGATTATAGCTGTGTGCCACCGTGCCCAGTCTCATTGGCCAGCTCACTGTGCCCAGGGCAGGGCTGGCACAGCACATAGTGCCGGGGATCAAACCTCAGTCTCTGTGCTTGCCTCAGCAGGTGCTTAGTTTCCTGAGCTATTTCGCTA